TCATGCTCTGTCTCTCTCTGTCCCAAAAATAAATAAACGTTGAAAAAAAAAAAAAAGATCTACAGTAGATCTTACCCTCAGTCCCTGGCTGAAGGCTGAAGGCATTCTGATTCCAAGCAAACCTGGCCCAGCACAGGCTGGTTAAACCAGAATCTGGGCTCCAGGGAGCTGTAGGCTGGAGACACAGTTTCTCATCAGATAGTTACAGGTCCCAGGAGGCCAGAGCTTCCAAATAGGAAAGGTAAAAATAGTATGAATGAGGCTTCTGAACCAGAAATGCAGACTCAGAACTGCCTCTGCCTCCCTCTTCTTCTGCCCCCAGGCTGGTCCTGTCACCACCATCACTGCTGCCCAAGTCCGTTCTCAGCTCCTAGTACCTGATCCAGCCTCTTCAGTTCACCCCACCCTGGGCAGCATCAGATCAACCCTCTTAAAAGGACTCCTGCTCAAGATTTTCCATGGCTCCTGGTGCGGAGCTTAATACAAATGAAGTCTCCTCTGTCAGATCTCCAGGATTTCAGACTCAGCAGATCTGGAGAGGGGCCCAGAAATCTGCATTTTATTTTTTTAATTAAAAAAATTTTTTTTTACATTTATTTATTTTTTGAGAGACATAGAGAGACAGAGCACAAGTTGGGGAGGGGCAGAGAGAGAGGAGACACAAAATCCGAAGCAGGCTCCAGTCTCTGAGCTGTCAGCACAGAGCCTGACGTGGGGCTTGAACTCACAAACCGTGAGATCATAGCCTGGGCCAAAGTCGGACGCTTAACTGACTGAGCCACCCAGGCACCCCCAGAAATCTGCATTTTAATCAGCGAGTCTAGTACCCCCTAAGAAACAAAGCCTAGAAGGGGAGCACCTGGGTGGCTCAGTCGGTTGAGCATTTGATGACTCCTGATTTCAGCTCAGGTCATGATGTCAAAGTTCCTAAGATTGAGCCCCGCATTGGGATCCATGCTGACAGTGCGGAGCCTGCTTCGGATTTCTCTCTCTGCCCCCACCTCCCCCA